TTTGTTTTTGTGATCTTTGTTTCTTTAAAACTGGTGTAATGCGTTATTTCTGACTAAACAACTTGTCTGTCGGTTAGAATATACTACTGTCTGGTGGCGGCCCAGACTGTGGATCAGATGGTTTCCTTACAGGGTCAGTACCCGAGCTTTTCATACAAATGTAGTGGAGATGTTGTAGTCCTATAGAAGCCGGTGACCGACATTAGGTCTATATATATATTACTTGTTTCCTTGGGATCATGGAGTCCACGTTTCCTACTAGGTAGATCCTATGTACTTACCAAGCCGGTTTAAAGCCCTAGTCGGACATTTCGAACAGTTGATTTCGTAAACAATACCCCTTTCCATGAGAAGGTAGTTAGAAGGACTTCCCTGACAGTGGCTCTGCTCAAGAATGAGAACGGACTTCCCTCATTCTCAGTCGTACCAGGTCATTTGAAGATTTTAATGATGATCATAATAGTAAAATTCACCTCCCAAAAATTAACATACCTATCAATGTGACGTATTTATTTAATCTTAGATTAGCATGACCAATATCATGTTTGTCTAGTCCTTTTTTTCTCAGGGACCTGAAAACGAAGATAGATTAGTGTTGGTCTTTGGAGACCTGAGTGCGTGACCGCAGAGCCCAAGGGACAACTGCTCGAGGCCGGTCACGCACGGCCTTTTTATGAGAAGTTTTTGAGTATTAGCTCCGCTCTTGAAAGCCCTTAGTGGGCACCTTTACCGCGGGAGACGGAAATCCGTGAGGTAGGGTAAGGTGTGACATTTTTAGGGTCAACCTTTTCTAACCCTTCCTTTCTTATGAGAAGGCAGCATTGCTGCCTGTTGTCCGAGGGAAACACCTTGCTGCTGTCACACCCCTCTGCAGTCAGCAGTACGCTTTGCCCTCAAACCTTGATTCTCTGCTTTTAGTCTCATCGCTCTCCAATCGACCTGCCTGGCATGTTAGAACCTTCAGCAACATATGTTCCAACCAATATAGCTCGGTCGGGTCATGACGATAGGCAAGCCCAACCAACCCCACGTCAAGGTAGCAGCTTCGGTCGGGATATATATATATATATATATATATATATATATATATATATATTGCTCATTACCATGTTTTGATATTAGAGATGATTAGAGGTCTCTCTCTGTTGGATTCGGATCATGCTCACTCAGTTGTATAGTCTAAGATATTATCACTGAGATGTTGGAACCCCGATGAATGTTACCCAGCATGAAACCTCTTTCCACAATGTCTTGCCGACTACCACCCTCGAATCCATTCGCAACTGTCTATATCTTTCAGACGACATGAGACAAAGGGTAATAAGAGTGCTTGAGCCCATTTGCATCAAGCTGGGCTTTCATCTCTTTCTATCCTATGCCATACAATGTATATACCATAAGCTATACTGCTATATAGAGCTGAAGATTTCTTATGAAACCAGAGGTTTGTTGTGAACATTGTGGATGGCTTAGCATTTCTCTAGCAAGTCTCGCTGATAGTCGATATACATATTTGGTTTTTAGGGTGACCGATTTCATTGATATAGGTGGTTGTTTTGCGATATTTACGAGGGCCACTGGGGTGCTGTGTTGTATATCACCTTTGCTAATAATAATGAGTTGGTGAGTCATCTAAACGGGATGGGTCGAATTCGCCTGTTCATGCTGTGCATATTGATCGTGACGCGATCATGGATCGGAAATAATCCCTATATGTATGGTGTGAATCGTCCACTAGGGTATCAGATGCCTGTATAGTGGTTGCACCATGGGATTAAGCCGAACTGTTCACGTTGAAATGTTAACACGTGAGCAGTCTCCTTGATTCTGCTTGCTAATAAACGCTTATTTCGGGGCAAAGTTTTGGAGGTTTGTGTTTTTACACATTTGAAATCATCAATCAATCACTTCTAGACCACCATTAGAAACCTGGAAGTACTGGACTGGGGCCGTTTCGTCCTGGTATGGGACTCATCAGTGACAGTGCGCATCCACGACCCCTGCACCTTGCAGGATTCGAACCCGGGACCTCCGGTTTTTTGCGCGAACGCCATTGGACCACTGAGCTAACGGCATCCAACGGTGTTAATGTCTAACTCTGATTGATCTAGGGATTTCGCGCGACCTCACCCATTTATTTGTCTTTGGTAGTTACTGCCTACACATACCCGACAGAGTTGAACTCCTGCATTGGTCACACGTCTTCTCAACTAGAACTCCAAGAATTTCTTCACGAAGCTACTAGTCACTAGGGAGCACTGTTATGATATTTTGGGTCACATTTGAAATAAAGGGTTAATTTTATTTATTTGTCTTTCTCAACTAAACAGCTTTTTTGACAAGTTATTCTTTTAAAAAAAATGTAATTTTTTCTTTTCTGTATTTTTATCATTTTTGTTTTGCATTTTCATAGTCTAAAATCAACACGTTCAATATTAAGCAATTTCAATGTGGATGAATTGAATCCAGTAGCGATTGCAAAATGTCTGTGTTTATTTCTTCGTACAGCTAATGGACAATTGAAAAGAAAGTTTGAAAGTTTGAATGAAGAACAGAGTGTAACATTATATAATCAAACAATTTTTCAATACAATGACAACGGCGATGATGATGATGATGTTGATGATACTGATGATGACGAACAGTGTGGTGGTACGAAAGATCCACAGTCAGGTGGGTTAGGGTTTATGCAAATTTCCCAATTTTTTTTTGTTAAATAAACTATTTCGCATGTTACGGATGAACCAATCAGTGTATTCTTTATTTGAGCTAGACCGGAATATCCTAGTGAAGACCGATGTCAGGCAAGGTTGCTTATTCTCGATCTTTCTCTTTCTCCTGATGATCGACTGGATTATGAAGAGGTAAAAATCTGAAGGGAAGGACGGTATACAGTGGACAGCCAGGGCTCAGCTGGACGGTCTGGACTTCGTAGATGATCTGGCACACGCAACAATAAATGCAAGAGAAGATGGACAGTGTTGCAGCAACGGGGTTTCAAGAGACCAGCGATGATGTTTCGTGAACTCGCTTCGTCTGCATTAGCGGTGCAGTGAGAAAAGGGACTGTGAGTAGAGTTCGTTATGGAGAGAAGAGAGGTGTGTGTGGGTTTAGGAAGGATTTGATTTCGACCAATTTGGTCTCGTGTACTGTTACGGGTATGAGGGCAGTTGTCACTTCCCGGCTGCCCACACCGTGGAAGGTTGTTTCTTGAGAGACCTGAAAAGGAGATAGATTAGTGTTGGTCTTAGAGACCTGGGAGCGTGACCGCAGAGTCCGAGGGACAACTGCTGGAGGCCGGTCACGCACGGCCTTTTTATGAAAGGTTTTTTTTAGTATTAGCTCCGTTCTTGAAAGCCCTTAGTGGGCAACCTTACCTCCGGAGACGGAAATCCGTGAGGTAGGGTCGAACTTTTCTAACCCTTCCTTCCTTGTGAGAGGGCAGCATTGCCGCAGATGCTGGTTGTCCGAGAGGAACACCTTACAACTGCCACACCCCTCCATCACAGTCAGCAGTACGACTTCGCCCTCACCTTGAGTAGCCGCTTTTAGTCTCATCGTTCTCCAATCGACCTGCCTCACATAGTAGAACCTTCAAGAACACATGTTCCAGCCAATATAGTTCTGTTGGGTCATCACGATAGGCAAGCCCAACCACCACGTCAAGGTAGCAGCTACGGTCAGGTGCAGCAACAGGTCTTAACATACACTGTCCATCTAGTGTCTAATGATTGCGCTCAAAGATACTTAACTCTCAGATACTGCATTATGATGAAATATGCTCAGAAAACACTTTTTATACTCATCCTACTTTCAGTTGTAGTTCCTAAGTACTTTTTTTATTTTACTGTTCTAGACAGTTACTTGCCAGCTCTCTCTCTCTCTCTTGACAGAAACAAATAGCTTGAGCATATTCGATTAAGCGGAAAAAATCCTATGTAACGCGCGAACGGACCATGTAAACCTAATCTTTAAATATCTATTTACAGTAAAAATAAACTTCTGATTGTCTTCGCTTATATCGCTTCGGGTTTACCTTTCACTGTGATCACAGCATGCATTTTGATCTCTAGACACTCCTCTCGGATAACAACTTCTAAATGACACTACGCTGCATACTGCTTATATGCGATTTTGTTGGACTGAGACATGTTAGTAGGTGTACATTACCTGGTTGGGGTCCGCAAGACGATAGTAATCGGTGGTTAGCAACTTCACATCCGCTCCGTCCTACTATACGGATGCGAAACATGGCCGGTGAAAGTAGAGGACATTCGTAGGTTGCTTGTCTTCGTTAGAAAATGAGTACTAGGTAAGGATGGCAGATAATTGATGAAGTAGTTAAACGCCATCTGTTGAGGTGGTTGGGATTTGTGTTATAAATGCGTAACCACCGACAGCCTCAGCAAACTATTTTTTACAGTGTTGGAGTAGGTTGAAAGAAAGCCAGGGGTGGCCAGACCAAGACATTGCACAAATCTATGAAATCGCTAACAAGTGGACTGAGTCTTGTTGGTAGATGTAGGCTATCTGGTTGGGGTCCGCGAGACGAAAGTCACCGATGGTTAGAGACCTTGAATGACATGGCTCGAAATCGTTCGCAATTGCCCAGGTGCATCCACTCTCTGTGTTCTCTCTAAACCTTTTCTTCTGAATTCCTCATAATATCTATCTTTCTCTTTCTAAATTTACCTCACTGAATCGTGTCTTTGAACCCTAATCTTCTCCATTACTGTTAATACTTCTACTACCTCTACCCCTATGAGATTTGAATTGACGTTTGCGTCTCTGTACTCATGTGTAGTAGGACAACTTGAACTGATGTACGTACGTACGTACGTACGAAGAGTTCTACGTTGTAGTTGACTGACTGACTATTTGTCATTTTGTGAGCAACACTCACTCACTCACGCCGAAATCATGGAATTTCGTTTTTCCTTTATTTTCCTTAATTCATAACTTTTCCATTTTCACATTTGGTTGAATGTTTCTTCTTCTCTATTTAATACAAAATCTAGATCAATTAAATACCCCGTCAACAACAACAACATGGAATATTGATAATTTTTTCACTGTTCTGCATGAATTAAATCCAAATTTACAATTAAGCATGGTAAGTGATAGAGTAATTCTTTGTTTTTCATTGTATCCGTGTGTGTTTGTGTGTCCAAACCAAAACATGTCAGAAATCCATGAAGTCACCGACACGTGGACTGAGTCCTGTTGGTAGATGTAGGCTACCTGGTTGGTGTCCGCCAGACGAAAGTCACCAATGGTTAAGAGACCTTGAACGACATGGCTCAGAATCGTTTGCAATGGCGCAGGTGTATCCACTCTTTGTGCTCTCTCAAACTCTAACCTTCTGAATTCCTCATAATCTCTGTCTTTCTCCTTCTAAATTTATCTTACGGAATTATACTTCTCGAATCATATCATATCTTCACTCCCTAATCTTCTCCATTACTGCTAATACTTCCTTCTACTATTGCTATCACTGTTGGATTTAAACTGACAGTTGCGTCTCTGTGTTGATTTGGTGTGGCAACCGGAACTGATGTCCTTACGTATGAATTTATGCGTTGCATCTGTCTGTCTGCGTTTGTGTGTGTATGTGCGCGCGTAACCTTGTCGACTTTGCTGTATGGAATAGTGTACAGTGTCTCGATGTGAGCTTCTCAGTAGTCAGTAGTGCATTGTGCACATCGATTTGACTAGTTTCAATATTTTCATTTTTAAGAAAAAATGAAATTTATGGATTGTATACCCTCACTCATATTTGTATTCTGTGTTATATATTGTATTAAGTCTGCGCTTATTACTTACACCTGGTTACCCTTAATGGAGCATAGGCCGCCGACTAGCATTCGCCAACCCTTCTCTGTCCTGACTTCTTCTTTCTAGGTGTTTCCAATTTGCTATGCATTCTTTTAATGTGTACTTCCAATTTTCGGTATATTCTGTCCTTTGGCCTTGAGAATGCTAAGTTAGGAGGACTTTTTGCCTGATACAGTTGGGTGATTTACACAGAGTGTGTCTACCCAAGCCTCCTGTGCTTACACTTCAAACAATATACAATTAGATGATAATACACTGTAATGACAATTGACTTAATGAATAGTGAGTGGTTGAAGCGCATATTTGACTTACAAATCAGTTTATCGATTATCAATGTCTTCGGAGCATTGCTCGTATATCCTGGGTTAACCGAGTGAGCAACGCTGTTATTAAGAAACGGGTGCTAGGTAAGAATGGCAGATCAATAGATGAAGCAATGAAACTTGATCAGTTGAGGCGGTTGGGACATGTGCTGCGTATGTCGACTACCTGGTTGAGGTCCGCGAGATGATAATAATCGATGGTTACAGACCTTGAATGACATGTCTCGAAATCGTTCGTAATGACGCCGGTGCATTTATTCTTTGTGTCCTCTCAAATCCTAATCTTCTGGATTCTTCAACCCCTCTACTTTGACTTTCTAAACTTTTCTCATGAAATCATACTTCTTGAATAATATCTTTTAATCCTAACCTCTCCGATTATTTCTAATTCCCGTACTACCTCTTCTACTATTGGATTTGAATTGACAATTACATCTCTGTGCTGATGTAGTATGGCGACATGAACTGATGTACTTACGTACGAAGTTCTACGTTGCATCTGACTGACTGACTAAACGTGGATTGACTAGTTGTACTATTGTCAATCAAATTTGAATGATTTCACAACTCCTCCAATTGATGACATGTTTCCCTTTTGTCTTCTTATTTTTTTGTTGTTGTTGACAGATTTTCAATGAATTAGATTGTCCCGAATTTATGATCACAAGTTATCAATCATTTGAATTATTTAAACAAATGATTTTTATTCAAACCAACAATACTACTACTGATAATACTACTAATACTACTTATAATAATCATCTCCAATCTCATATATCAGCTAATTATTTCTATCATTCATGGATTTATTCATATGGACAATATAGTTTACTGTATTATTGTTCCATCTATCCAAATGTGATTAGTTTCAATAGTTGGCCATATCGTTCTGTAGATATGAGTATGTTACAATTATCATCATTGAGTGATGAAGAAGAAGAAGAAGCGGCTGCACAAACAAGTATACAACTGTGGTAAGTAGTAGTAATCAATTTAGATGTTGTTGTATTGTGCAGAATTGTTGAAAGATATGGTTGGTGGTTGGTGGTTTCTCTCTCTCTCTCATGGGGGGAATGTAATCTATTAGACAGTGAAATGGTGTTGAGTGATATAATTCCAAGGTAGTAGTTGAGCACGAATAGACCAACATAGGTTTTTAACTTCTTGGCGTTGTGGTCGGACTTGTCTATCGTGATGATCCAACTGAGCTATATTGGCTGGAACATTGGAGAACGATGAGACTAAAAGCAGCTATTCAATGTGTGAGGGTGAAGTCGTACTGTTGACTGTAGAAGAGGGTGTGACAGCAGAAAGGTGTTTCCCTCGGACAAGACAGTATCTGTAGCGATGCTGTCTTGTCACAATGAAGGAAGGGGTTAGAAAATGTCGACCCAAAAAAATGTCACACTTCACCCCTTACCTCACGGATTTCCGTCTCCGTCAATAACACAATTCGAAGAGCGGAGCTTACACTTCCTAAATATACCATAAAAAGGCCGTGAGTGATCGGCCTCAAGCAGTTGGCCTTTGGTCTCTGTGGTCATGCTCTCAGGTCTCTAAGACCAACACTAATCTAACTTCCTTTTTAGTTTCCTCAAGAAACACCGTTCCATGGTGCGGGCAGCCGGGAAGTGACACCCACTCTCATACGCGTAACAGCACACGTGACTGATGTCATCCTAAGTCTCCAAAAAATATTGGCTATAATATAATTACACCGACCCCCCCCCAGTCATCTAGTGTGCACCACCACCTACCAAACCCAAGCACATTTTTTAAATTAATTATCGTGTACAATAATAAAGAAATAAGACACATGCCTGTATCGAATAAGAATAATAGCAATAATAATAATAATATACGCTTGTTTACAGAACATTGAACATTGAAATAATACTATCAATAAATATGATGATTAGCTTACAAGTTCTACTAATTTAATAAAACATGTGTCTTAAAATTCAAACAAAGTTGAATTCATTCTCTGATATATATATGTGTAATGAAACAATAATTAGAAACATTATTTGAATATCCAAAATTAAGTTGGCTAAGCGTGTTCTTTCATTCTTTATTTAAAAATATATGTATATAATTCAAAGTTGACTACACAACAAACCATGTTACATCATTCATGTCTGTGGAGGAAGATAGCTTACCTCTGAATGTATGAATAGCTACAACGTAGAACTTCATACGTACGCATTTACATCAGTTCAAATTGCCATACCACACATTAGCACACAGAAAGAGCGAATTATCAACTCAAATCCCGTAGTAGTAGAGGTATTAGCGGTAATCAAACAGATTTGTCGTCGAAAATATCATTCGAGAAGTAATATCGCTGAGGAATCAATTTAAAGAGAAAGAGAGGCAGAAAAAGAATGGTCATGAATCTAAGGGAACATAGAACGAATGTACCTGCGCCATTGAAAACGATTTTGAGCCATGTCATTCAAGGTCTCTAACCATCAGTTACTATCATCTCATGGACCCCATCCGGGTAGTATACACCTACTAACATGCTTCAGTCCACTTGCTGAAGTTTCACTACTTCATCTATTGATCTGCCACCCTTACTTGTTTTCCTAACAACTGCATTACTTATTCGATGGTCCCAGGATATATGAGCAATGCTTCGGAGACACCTATGATCGAATACTAGTAACCTATGAATATCTTTTACTCTTACTGGCCATGTTTCACATTCATATAGTAAGACAAAGTGAACTGATGCGCAGTAGATTCATCGTTTGCTTAGCATACCGATATCTCACCTACACCATACATGATACATGTTGACAAAGAATAGTACTGTCGTTAAAATTAACATTGGAGAGTGAATTTAAATTTTTTTGACAGAAACAAACAGACAAGAAAGCAAACCAATCACAAAACAATCACCACATGCCATAAACTGATTCATTATTCAAATGATTCATAACATCCAATGTTGATTTTCCTAACTGTAATCTTAAATGAGAAAATCACAAATCAAACGTACTACACGATCTGGGAGGGGTTCAATGTTCTACTATGTTATAGTTGACTGAGTGACTACCCTTAATTCGCTCTGCAATGTGTACTTTACTTTGTGAGAAAATTAAATAAACATAACTAGTTTAATATTAGTTTTCAGGCAGAGTTTTGGAGGTTTGTGTTTAATTTTTACACATTTGTAATCATCAATCAGTCATTGTTAGACCACCATTAGAAACCTGGAAGCACTGGTTGACGGCCGTTTCTTCCTGGTACGGGACTCATCAGTAGCAGTGCGCATCCACGACTCCTGCACCTCGCAGGACTCGAACTCGGGACCTTCGGTATTGTGCGCGAACGCCTAACCATCGGACCACTGAGCCGGTATCTAATGTGGATGCGCACTGCCGCAGATGAGTCCCATACTAGGACTAAACAGCCATCATCCAGTGCTTCTTTCCAGGTTTCTAATGGTGGTCTAACACTGATCGATTCATGGTTTCAAAAAATGTGTAACTCAACAATCTTCACAACCCCGTATTATATGTAGGTATCATCGTTTCCACCGACGTAATCCATCCGTCGACATCCATCTATTACAAACTATTTTCATTCATTTATCTAAACATTGTTCTCTTCTTCACTCTTTATTCTTTATTCTTTCTTTTTCTAAATGACTAAATGATTTATCGATTTGTTTATTTTAGAAAAAAAAACTATGATTTTGATTGTAATAAGTAATACATAGCGTAATACTTACTACTACAATACAATCACACATTTGTCTATCTATTTTGTACACACACATGTGAGTGTGTATGTGTGCGTACGTGTGTTAGTGTGTGTGTGCGTGTTACCCTGGTGTCAAGGGTTGATTGTATCATGTGATGAAAGAGAAATACAGAAGAGAGAGAAGACACTTTGCATTCTTTTTCACGTTGCTTACTTATACTACACACATATTACACTGTTTGATTTGTTATTCAACTAATAACTCTATGTTAGTGTAGTTGATGATAAATTTTTGATCTTGACACGTAAACATGGATTTGTAATACAAATGGAGGTAGGAAGGGAGGGTACACTGCACAAATCAGTGGATTCGGGAATGGGATGAGTTGCTGTTGCGGCTGCTACTACTCAAACCAACTCAGGAGGTGAACCATTCCTCCCCAGAGAGTCCTTTGACTAAGAAGTCTTACAATCTACAAGGCGATTCAGTCACCAACCAATGTGCACTATTGGTTTGGAATCAGAATATTCCAACTCCCCTACTCGTCGGTAGCCGGCGACTTGATGTAAGCCTTCACTGGACATTCACATTTAGTCTTATCGATTCCATAAATAACACCATTGATAAGAGAAGACAGTGAGTAGAACTTCCCTGCTAGTGGTTATCCGTACATGGGCACATAGCAGGGGCATTCAGGATCAACTGTGAAAGTTCTTTCATTTAAACCAAATAGTAGTTGTTCAAGAGAAGAAAGAGAAAGGAAGAGCACAACACCACTAAGACTGGTGTACTACGGTGGTTGAACATTGATTCGTTCTTAGTTTCCATCATTCTGATACTTACTTAGGCTTGTTACTCTTTGTGGAACATTGGTCGCCGACTACTGATGTCCAACCAACTTTGTCCTCCACTCTCTGTTCCATTTCTTTCCAATTGCTATTCATTCCTTGCATGTCTATCACTGAATCACGGCACAATTTGTTCGTACGTTTATCACTTTACCTTTTGTCTCGAGGATTCCAAGCGGAAGGTTACCTCATGACGCAGTTGGGTAATTTCCGCAATATATGTGCTCTCCACCAATCTGTCAGTCAGTTAAAACGTAGAACTTCGTATGTATGTACGTACATCAGTCTAAGTTGCCATAACACACATCGGCACAGAGGCCGAATCGTCAATTCAAATCCCATAGTAATAAAGGCAGTAGAAGTATTAGCATTGAAGATGTATACCTCAGAGGAATCCATTAAACAAAAGGAGAAACAAAACGTTCATGAGGAATTCTGAAGATTAGGATTTGAGAGAACAGAAAGAGTGGATGCATTTGCGCCATTGCAAACGAATTTGACCCATGTCTATCAAAGTCTCTAACCGTCGATTACTATCATCTCACGGACCCCAACCAGGTATTCAACGCCCACCAACATGGTCCATCAGTTCAGTAGTCAGTGCCTACATGGATTTCTGCCATGTTTTGGTCTTGCCACCCCTAGCTTTCTTTCAACCTACTCCTAAACCTCAAAACATAGCTCGACGAGGCAGTTGAACCTTAATCTCTGCCTCAAATAGAGTTCAATTTGTCCCCTGCCATAGTAGGTTGTTGCTGATAACGTCTGGTCAACAACGGATCAAGTGTATATATTGCGGAGACAACTGTTAATAAACACTTGTGGATGATGGCTTTCGTAGTTCTTCAAGTTTCTGCTCCATACAGTAGAACTGTCTTGATGTTTGTAATGAAGAATGTGTCTTTGGCGTTGGTTGATATTTGTTTTTAGTTGTAGAAATATTGCCCCTTACTGTTCCAATCCTTACCTTCGCATCTACATCCGATCACTCTTTTACCCCTTACACTCACTAATCATAAATAATAATGTTGACTTCACTTTGTCCTATCGCTTTTTTTGTAATGAGTGTGTGTGTGGGAGGATACATACTTCTGTACATTATTCAACTATGGTAGTGTTTCGTTGTCTGAGCTGGAGATGTTTTGTTTGTGGAGCTTTCCATTGTTCTTCTTCTGAACTACAACATCATCAGGACTTCTATCTGAAGTTTGTGCTGCTGATGAAGTTGTTGTTCAGTAGAAGATCAATGAAAAGCTCCACCACCATCACAATCATCCACCTAATAAGCTACACATTTTCTCCACCATGTCAAATATTCAATGTGCATTACGGGGTTGTGAAGATTGTTAAGTTACACATTTTTCGAAACCATGAATTGATCAGTGTTAGACCACCATTAGAAACCTGGAAGCACTGGACTGGGGCCGTTTCGTCCTGGTATGGGACTCCTCAGCGACAGTGCGCATCTACGACTCCTGCCAATCGCAGGATTCGAACCCAGGGCCTTCTGTATTGTGCGCGAACGCCCTAACCGCCAGACCACTGAGTCGGTATCTAACGGTGTTAATGCGCAACTCCGTGAATTTGATCAAGTCAGACACTAATAGCGTTAGATACCGGCTCAGTGGTCCGATGGTTAGGCGCCCGCCTACAATACCGAAGGCCCTTGGTTCGAATCCTGCGGGGTGCAGGAGTCGTTGATGCGCACTACCGCTGAGGAGTCCCATACCAGAACGAAACGGCCATCATCATCCAGTGCTTGTTCCAGGTTTCTAATGCCGGTGGTCTCTCTAACTAACACTGATCAATTCATGGTTTCAAAAAATATTCCATTGTCCATTACTTAGAGTTGTTGTTGTTGCCTTAAAATCAATGCTAACACTTCTTTATTCATAGAAATAAATAAATTTACTCCAGTCCACAATCAATACAACAATTCACTTGATCTATATATATAGAAATAATATCTAAATTAAATTAATTCGCTTTGATTTGATTCAATAATAAAGGATTATTTTAAATCAGAGAAAGAGTGAATTCAAATTAAAAACTATATTAAAAACACAACTCCAATTTTACTAGATATTTGTCACAAGACAACATATTGGATCAATGAAATCAGGTCAATAATATCATGCACGCACACACACGCACGCACTCATAAGAATGGCGCGTTCTGTTATTATTATTAGTATGAATTATGATTAGTATTAGTGTATGAGAGATGCGTGTGACATATGAGAAAGCATCATCATCAGCGTGATTGGGTTTTTGTTAACTATAACAATCAATCAATAGTGTTGTGTTGGTATTGATGTTTATGTTGTTGGTGTTTGGTTAAATACAAGACTAATTAGTCTTGTTTTTTCTCAGTATAAATTATGTGTCGCTTTTATGATGATGATGATGATGATGATTGTGATCGTCTTGAAAAGTGTTGTTTTTTAATGCGCAGAATAACACAAAACAAAACAATGTCAATCTTGATGTTGATAAAAAAAATTAGGTGGTCGTCTATGCTTGTAAAGAGGAATATTAGTTGGAAAGCACATCAAAGTTTAGATGACTCTGTGAAGTTGTGGTGGTTGAATATTTTTGTGTGCGTGAGAGAGAGAGTGTGACTTACTTGTTGATGAAATCGTATTGATGTAGATACTACTGCTACTGTGGTGTGAGCTACTTATAAGTAGTATATGACGTGAGCGTCAACGTAATGTCTGGCAGAAGAGAAGATGGGGGAAGATCAAGAAAGGAAGAGCGGGGGGAACACAATGGAATTTGTATGAAACGCATGAATAGTGACAATGGATTGATGTTTGGTAACAGGAACAGTCCAGTTCCATAGGATGAACTGATCTTTTGCATATGAACGATTTACGATATGGTTTTCCGATTTTACTGAGTAACTCTGTAATTTTCGATAACTATAATTCGGTTGCCCTCACTGGTGTTCTCCTACACTACAGTAGTCAGTCAGTCAGTTGCAACGTAGAACTTCGTACGTATGTACATAAGTTCATGTTGCCATACCACATTAGCACAGAGACGCAAATGTCAAATCCAATACCATAGTGATAAAGATAGTAGAGGTATTAATGGTAATGAATAAGACTAGGGTTCGAAGATATTATTCAAGAAGTATAATTCAATGAGATAAGGTTAGAAAGACAAAGGTAGAGGTGCTGACGAATCCAGAAGATTAGGATTTGAGAGAGCTCAAAGAGTGGATGCACCTGCGCCATTGCAAACGATTTTGAGCCATGTCGTTCAAGGTCTCTAACCATTGATGACTTTCGTCTCGCGGACCCCAACCACATAGCCTACATCTACCAACATGACTCAGTCCACTTGTCATTGACTTCATGGATTTGTGCCATGTTTTGGTCTGGCCGCCCCTAATCACTACAGTAGTAGTAGTCTTGTTTTCTAGAGTAGGGTAACTAACCGACATTCTGTCTGAATTCTGCAAATTTCAACTAATAAGAAACGTGGCAAGTTTGTATGGTCAGTGTAGTGCCCAGATGGATGATGATTTTAGTGAAGTGTTTTTCTTTTTGTTTGATGGAAATGGACAACATCATCCCCCTTGGGAGAATATACACTATAACCAATTGAAGCATTTATCTGAACTGTAAATCTTGTGGTGTATGAGTAGGTTGAAAGAAAGTTAGGGGCACCCAAATCAAAACATAGCGCAAACCTATGAAGTCATAGACAAGTGGAATGATGGACCATGTTAGTGGGTGTGAACTACCTGTTCCGGGTCTGCGAGACAATGGTAACCGATGGTTATAGAACTTGAAAAACATGGCGCAAGTGCATCCATCCTTTGTATTCTCTCAAATCTTAATCTTTTGAATTCCTCATCACATTTATCTTTCTCTTTTTAAGTTCATTTCACTGGATTATACTTTCTGAATAATTTATTACAACCTTAATGTTTCCCACTATCGTTAATACTTCTACTACGTCTACTATTATGAGATTTGAATTGACGATTGTGTCTATGTGCTGATGTGTGGTATGAAAACTTGAACGGATGTACGTACGTACGAAGTTCTATGTTGTTATTGACTGACTGACTGATTGAAGTTTTCTACCTCGCTGAAAAGAGTGTATTGATGTCAAACAATAGGGTAAAGCTCAGTAAGATTAGGTTTGTCTAATTAGCTTTGAGTTGATTAACCTCTAAACCAGTTTCTCCAAATATGGTCATTAACTACACGATCAACTTCGTTGGTCTGTATTAAGTCGTTAGTACAGTCTGTCAGAGAATTTTTTTAGTGTTTTTTTCCGAAAAATGAAAGCGACTATCTTCATTTTGAATATTATTCGACTTGCAATGAATGATATCAACGTCTGAAGGCGAAGTCATACTGCTGACTGTAGAGAGCTGTGACAGCAGTATCGGCAGCGATGCTGCCTTCTCACAAGGAAGGAAGGGTTAGAAAAGGTCGACCCTAAAAATGTCACACCACGGATTTCCGTCTCCGTCGGTAAGAGTGCCCACTAAGGGCTTTCAAGAGCGGAGCTAACACTCAAAAAACTTCTCATAAAAAGGCCGTGCGTGACCGGCCTGAAGCAGTTGTCCCTTAGGCTCTGCGGTCACGCTACCAGGTCGTTAAGACCAACAGTAATCTAACTTCCCTTTCAGGTTCTTCAAGAAACAATCTTCCATGGTGTGGACAGCCAGGAAGTGACTTTCACCCTCATACCCGTACCAGCACACGAGACCGAACTGGGAAATCAATTGATATGGAATATTTCATCTTAGTATAAAACACTTCTGTTATCTCAAGAAAAATATTATTTTTTCAATAAAATAAATTCATCTCCGTAACTATAACAAATCTTCTCTACCGTCTCAAAGTGATATAAACGTAACACACTCCTGGTTATTCCAAGATGAGATGATTTAGTAGAAATAAAAAGTAGAGCTCAACAACTGTACCATTTTCTTTCAGGATGTTTTGATTGACTACGGAAGTAAGTGTCCCAGGTATAAATCATTCAGCTTAACGAACGCAACTTCTCTAAAACTGTTGCACATAACAACATAGGAAGCTTCACAATTCATCCATCATCTAATACGGAGCTTCTCTGCGCATCTTCTCACTGCCTCTCTCTCACACACATTCACAGTAATGTGAAGTGTTGCAGCATCTTCAAGTGATACCAATATGTTCCACATTCTATATTGTATAACTACAACACGTGTTCTTGTCATCCAAACTCTGAAAATTTAAGCATACTTGTTTTGTTGCTGACTGCTAAATCTCATCAATATTGATTCGATCCGTTTGTGTGAATCAATATATAGTAATCATGTTCAGTTGTCAGTCAGTCAGTCAGTCAGTTGCAACGTAGAACTTCGTACGCATGTACATAAGTTCAGGTTGCCATACCACATTAGCTGAAAGACGCAAATGTCAAATCAAATCTCATAGTGATAGTAAAGATAGTAGAGGTATTAATGGTAATGAAGAAGACTAGGGTTCGAAGATATTATTATTCAAGAAGTATAATTCAGTGAGATAAGATTAGAAAGACAAAGGTAGAGGTGCTGGCTAATCCAGAAGATTAGGATTTGAGAGAGCTCAAAGAGTGGATGCACTTGCGCCATTGCAAACGATTTTGAGCCATGTCATTCAAGGTCTCTAAACATCGGTGACTATCGTCTCGCGGACATCAATCAGACAGTCTACACATACTAACATGGCTCAGTCTACTTATCAGTGACTCCATGGATTTATGCCTTGTTTTGGTTTGGCTGCCCCTAGCTTTCTTCCAGCCTATTCCTACACCACAAAATCTAGCTCATCGAAGCAGTCAGTGGTTAGCCATACGTAACACATGTCCTAACCGCCTCAACTGATGAAGTTTCACCACTTCATCTATCTTTCATTTGAGAGAGCGCAACGAATGGATGCACTTGCGCCATTGCAAACAATTTTAAGCCAATTCAGTTGTCGTGCAATCGAAAATCACTCACTATATATTATGATAATTTTTCCCAGTCAAATGTTACTGCTCATTATTTGATAAGTGCAATCTATTATATAACCGGTAATGAAAACTTCAGTCTCACTGAAATATTCATTAAAAACAATGTCTTTTTTTCTAAATATTCTTTTGATACAGGCAAAATATTGATTATGTTCAAGCTTTATTAAATCTATCCGATAAAGGTTTATACATGAATGTATACAAATTGTTGAAACATGTGTTCACTCTTTATCCAGACATTTTGACTGCGACATTACTTGAAACGGTAAGTCATTTGTCATTCGTAATTCAGTTTGTTTTTGTCTCTTTTGACTATTGAATTTTTAAATAAGTAGTTTAAATAGATTTAGAAAAAAACATGGTATTGTTTTATGATGTTTAAAATAATCAATATTTCTGTCAAGTTATTATATGGTGTTACATAGAATTCCATTTTTATTCATTTATAAAATTATTAGTTGTTTTTCATGGATACGCCCTTCCCATCCTATTTTTCAGACTAATCAAACAAGTAGAATTTTGATGTAGTGTTGTTGGTGTGTCACCCACCATCGTGATTTCACTCTAGTATGATTAATTTGAAACAGTTGAAATTTGGTTCTCATTACCAACAATCGTGAATGAATCATTGTTTGACCACCACCAGAAACTTATAAACACTGAACGATTGTTTCGCCCCATCGTTGGACCACTCATCATCAGTGCGCACCAACGACTCCTGCCACTTACAGGATTCGAGCTCAGGATATTTGGTCTTGCACGCAAGCGCCTAACCGCTGGACCACTTAGTCGGCATGTAACGGTGTTGATGTCTAACTCAGATCAAATTAGATTGTGATTTCGTTGTTATATCAAGTTTATTTCAAAAATGCACTTCAATTTCTAACCACACAAATGTAGTTGTAACATTTTTAAAAAAAAATCCTTGTCATATGTTGATAATCTTCACATTAATGTAGTTTTATGATTCCTTCATGATGGAATCAGATTATATGGCTGACACTTGTCACTTAAACATTTTTCTGTATAAATGGTACACTTCAATCGAATCAAATCTTCATTGTGCTCAGATATCGACAAATGTAAAAGATTTTTGATGATAGACTGGCTATCGAGTGGATATGGCTGAAGCATTTTACTTGGATACTTCAAGAATTAGCATGACTGCTTCTTACCATATACCTTCAGTCAGTTATATTGTGGTGTGAGCTACTTATAAGTAGTATATGACGTGAGTGTCAACGTAATGTCTGGCAGCAGAAGATGGGGGGAAGATCAAGAAAGGAAGAGTTAGAAGAACACAATGGAATTTGTATGAAACACATGAATAGTGAAATGTCAGACAATGGATTGATGATGGATTGAAGATTTGCAAATTAACCGTTTACGATATGGTTTTCCTATTTTACTGAGTAACTCTGTAATATTCGTTAAATACAATTCGGTTGCCCCACCTGTGTTCTCGTTCACTACAATATCTATTACCAAATAAAAAGATTGTCATCAAGACTAAACTATTTGTTTCAAGGCATAAGCTGCCTCTAATCAACCTCGTCTCCTTTATTGTTTAGAAAACTGTAGTACAATATCAATCCGACATGTGGTTGCCTAAACTGCACACCACTCTTCTATTGTTATTCCTCCTCCGGTGTGACTGGTCTTAATAGCATTTTCTTTTTGTTGCTTACTTTAATTGTTCATGATATTTTTTTTAAATGTCTATTCAAAATACTTGTGTGTTTTTTTCTACTTTTTTCAAAATGATTAATTTAGAATGTTTGTACATTACGTAATGTAATGCTTGGTCATGCCATTGTGTACTTTTTAACAAATCGATTAAATTCACAAATTCTTCTTCAAACTGTATGGAATGGTGGAAAGGTAAGTGTTTTTCCTTTTTTATGCTTAAGGATCATGAATAATTACTAATAAACTAGGATTCTTAACAATATGTGAGTGTATATATATATCTGTGGTCATTGCGTAATCATGTGTTCGTCGTTGTTGTGATAACACTTACAGTCTCCTACGAACGCATCCACAGCATGGGCTTCATTTGCTGCGACCTAAATCTGGCATATATAGTTTTAATAGTAATAATAGAAACAAATTGAAACGTCTTAACCTGTGTGGCGGGGTGAAGTTGGATCCCCAGAACTCACTTGATAAAAGTCCTAATCTTGGATTTTATGTTTTTTGGAGCATGGGCTGATCAGTTGACTTTGAGATTGCTCGTATATCGTGGGATACCCGAGTGAACAACGCTGTTATTAGGAAACGGGTGCTAGGTAAGAATGGCAGATCAATAGATGAAGTAATGAAACTTCATCAATTGAGGTTGTTGGGACATGTGTTGGGTATGCCTAACCACCGACTGCCTCGACCAGCTTTGTTTTGTAGTGTAGGAATAGGTTGGAAGAAAGTTAGGGGCGGCCAAACCAAAACATGGCACAAATCCATGAAGTCACTGTCAGGTGGACTGAGTATGTTGGTAGACGTAAGCTACCTGGTTGGGGTCCTCGAGACTAGAGTCACCAATGGTTAGAGACCTTGAATGACATGGCTCAAAATCGTTTGCAATGGCTCCGGTGCATTTATTCTTTGTATTCTCTTAAATCCTAATCTTCTGGATTCTTCAACTCCTCTAGTATTGACTTTCTTAACTTTTCTCACTGAATCATAATACTTCTTGAATAATAATATCTTCTAATCCTAACCTCTTCGATTACTTCTAATACCTTTACTACCTCTACTACTATTATGGGATTTGAATTGACTGTTATATCTCTGTGTGTGCTGATGCGATGGTATGGCAACATGAACTGATGTACTTATGTACGAAGTTCTACGTTGCATCTGACTGGCTGACTGCTTCAATATTCATCAAACACATCGATTCACCCGCGCACTGTATCATGAAACAATGACAAAAGTTCACAACCCATGTTTGATTGATTTCTGTACATGAATAATTCCAAAAAAACCTACATATTCTTTCTTACACAACTAACCCCGCCCAAAACATAACAGAAATCCATGAAGTCATTGACTAGTGGACTGAGTCGTGTTGGTAGTTGTCGACTACCTGGTTGGGGTCCGCGGGATAATAATGATCGATGGTTAGAGACCCTGAATGACATAGGTCAAAATCGTTTGCAATGGCGCCGGTTCATATATTCTTTGTGTTCTCTCAAATCCTAACCTTCTGAATTCTTCAACACCTCTAGTTTTGAATTTCTAAACTTTTCTCATTTAATCATACTTCTTGAATAATATCTTCTAATCCTAACCTCTCCGATTACTCCCAATACCTTTACTACCTTAACTATTATTATGCAATTTGAATTGACAACTTCATCTCTGCGCTGATGTAGTATGGCAACATGAACTGATTGCACGTACGTACGAAGTTCTACGTTGTATCTGACTGACTGACAACTAACCCCACCATATTAGAGTTGAAATCTTGTAAATTCAATTTTTTCTTATTTATATTTGTATTGGTCGAACGTGACAGAATTAATTATGTTTTTTCTATGAAACACATTTGTGATTACGTGGGTTTTTCTTCTCTGTCTTTCTTTGTTTGTTTCCGTTGTTCTGTGTTTTTTTTACACGAAAATGGTGTAAAATGTCAATCTATGTGTATACTGACGTACGTATTGCTTGTATTTCAACCATACTTACTTACTACTACTACCACTGTAGTGAACGAGAACACAGGTGGGGCAACCGAATTGTATTTAACGAATATTACAGAGTTACTCAGTAAAATCGGAAAAACCATATCGTAAATCGTTCATTTACAAAATATCAGTTCATCATATCGAACTGGACTGTTCCTGTTGCAAACAACATCAATCGATTGTCACTATTCATGCGTTTCATACAAATTCCATTGTGTTCTTCTAACTCTTCCTTTCTCTTGATCTTCCTCCATCTTCTGCCACCAGACATTACGTTGACACTCACGTCATATACTACTTATAAGTAGCTCACACCACACCACTACTACTCAATCTTAAATGTCGATCAATTTTCCTACTAATGACGACCGATTCTATTGATATGAAATAAAAATCCTATATTGATATACGTGTATATATATACACTATGTCTATCGTGTATTTTTAGTCAGTAGTCTATTTCTGTGATAGAAAGATCATTGAATTAATTGTCCAACGCTTTATAAACACATATCTGGTAGAATAAATAATAAGCCTTACTTCGTAGTCACGACCTTGGAATGACGGTGGTCGGATTGTTATATTGTATTGGCTAAAACATTTGTTTATTGAAGTACTCTTCCTTCCCAGGAAAATTAATTGAAGAGTGGTTAGCCTAAAAGCACAAATTGAAGGTCTAAGGACAAAGTCGTAATGGCAACGAATTGAAGTATGGTGATTGTAAGCTGTTCTCTTCTGAGATAGTGGAGAAAACTTGTAGCTCAGGTGGATGATTGTAGTGGTGTTTGGTACTCTGAGCTGGGTGTTTTGGTTGTGGAGCTTTCATTGTTCTTCTTCCGAACAACATCATCAGCACAAACTTCAGATAGAAGAAGTGAAGTATTCGAATTTCTCCACGTTTGACCTGTAGCTTGTTCTGCTAACCTCGATCTTGATTGGTTGTTGTTGAACTTAAACCTGTCGTTGTTTGCACTTTTTGTTTTGATTGTATCCTCCTTTTTGATCTGTTTCTTGATCCTATGTCACCTATGATTTATCCTGATTGGTTGATAAATTGGGTCAATGTCGATGTGTTTGTTGATTGCTGTTCTCTTCAGACAACCAGTACTCGTGGTGATAGTTCTTTCATTTAATTGAAGGAAGGTATTAGGTATATCATGTTCTCACCAATAACTGACCAATTTCTGTTCTAGTGAAAAACCTTGACCAGTGAGATGCTCAAAGCAGTTCGCCGCCGATAATGGTATTATTAAACAGTATTACAAATTTATCGAAGTGAAATACCGAATCAATAACTTTAAAGATTAAAAACTGTCTACGAGACCTAAAAGTCCTAGATTCGGTGATCTGTGTTGTTTTTGGATTGTTAGCGAACAGTTCCACTAACTAAATCGAAATAATTGTCACAACTTAAAGTGTAAAGGCATAGATTCCCCTACTTACTCTCGATTTAGTCGTGTATCTTACTGACTGAGTACACTACAGAATCAACCAAACCAAAACATACCACTTGTCATTGACTTGTCAATGACAAGTGGACTGAGTCATGTTGGTTGATGTAGGCTACCTGGTTGGATTCCGCGAGACTAGAGTCACCGACGGTTAGAGACCTTGAGTGATATCGGTCAAAACCGTTTGTAATGACGCAGGTGCGTTTACTTTTAAGTGCTCTACCAACTTCTAACCTTCTACATTCTTCATCACCTCTATCTTTCTCTTTCTAAATTTACTTCACTGAATTATACTTCTTGAATAACACCTTTGAACCCTAATCTCTCCTATTACTTCTAATACTTTTACTACCTCTACTACTATGGGATTTGAATTGACAATTATATCTCTGTGCTAATATAGTATGGCAACATAAGTGCTGTACTTACGTGCAAAGTTCTACGTTGCTATTGATTTGATTTGATCCCCGACTCCTGCTTCTCTCAGGATTTTAAGCCAGTACCTTCATTCTCGCACGAACGCCCAGCATTTAGATCATGTGAACCGGTACCCAACGATGTTAATGTCTAACTCTTACCAATCTAGAGATGTTCCACGACCTCACCCATTTATCTTCGGCAGTTACTGGCTACACCTGACAGGTTTGAACTCCAGTGGTATCGTCAGACCGATGGTCCCTGGTTCGAATCCTGCAAGTATCAGGCATCACTTCATCTTGTTTGCATTTTGTGTGGTTATGGAGAGGTTGATCGATTTCATTGATTTCATTATGACCTGTATCTAAGTCAGATAATTATTGAAACATTGAACAGTCATATTTGTCCTTAAACTATTCAGCAACATCTCTGTGTTTGTGTGTGTGTGTGGCAATTTGAACCCGGAACACTTGAGGTCTTGCATACAAATAAATCACTTAACCTCTTTTTTTTATCGACTGATAACCTATTTCCTTTCATTGCTCTGATTTCAATGTTTATCATATAGGAACGCTTTCTTGTTTTAATGTTTCTATATAAATAATATTAATAATGGCGAACTAATATGGCCGACCAACTATGACTCATCAAGGTTGCTTTTTGGTGTTGTTCTTGTTGTTGTTGTTGACTAATGACTATGACTGTCTGGAAATTCTTTTCACTCTCTTTCTCTCTCTACCTCTCCGTCTCTCTCACTCACCCCCTCATCTTCACATTCATCTAATGTATTCGTCTCCTATCTGTTTTTCTCTTTGTCTAAATTAAGACACGACCAGGTAAGTTTTGTAGTTAATTAACAAATGAGATGGAAGGTTGTTAATCGAAAATCAAAATTGTTTGTCTGTGCGTCCGTGTGTGTGTCTGTGTGTGTGATATGAATGGATGGATGGATGGTTGCCCGATTGAATTGAGCAAGTGCAATTAGAAAGTTTGATGTCAATGTATCCTATCTCCAATGTGCATACATGTCGATATGTGTTTGTGTGTGTGTTCGTTCACAGTCTGTCTATTGATGACATGACCTCTTTTAAATCGAATACATGCATATATGTGTATATTAGATTAGATGGAGAAAATGTGTATGTAGATCAGGTGGATGATTGTGATAGAGTGTGATTCTCTGAACTGGGAATTTTTTTTGGTTGTGGAGCTTTCTACACAGTGAAATCATGAATCAATCATTGTTTGATCATCAGTATTAGAAACCGGGAAGCACTGGACGACGATCGTTTAATCTTGGTATGAGATTACACATCAGCTGTGCGTATTCACAACTCCCGCTCCTCGCAAGATTTGAACGCAGGATCTAGGGTTTTGCGCGTGAACGCCTATGCTCTGTAGACCACTGGTACTTTTATTGTTTATTGCTCAGAGAACGAAACTCCATCGCATTCCACTAGAATTATCAACTGAACAATGTGATTAGACAACCATCGGAGATCTAGAAGTAATGGATAGCCGTTTTCGCTCTGGTATAAAACTCCTCAGAATTACTTGACCGTTAAGAGTAGAAGACTTTCGTAGGTTACTAGTCTTCGATCATCGATGTCTCCGAAGCATTGCTCGTGTATCCTGGGACAACCAAGTAAGCAATGCTATAATTAGGAAACGAGTACTAGGTAAGGATGGCAGATCCACTGATGAAGTAGTGAAACTTCATCTGTTGAGGTGGTTGGGACATGTGTTACGTATGCCTTACCACCGACTGCCTCGACGAGCTGTGTTTTGTTGCATAGGAGTAGATTCAAAGAAAGCTAAGGGCGGCCAAACCAAAACATGGCACAAATCCATGAAGTCACTGACAAGTGGATTGAGTTATGTTGGCACATGTAGGCTACGATAGTCCCCGATGGTTAGAGACCTCGAACGACATGGCTCGAAATCGTTTGCAATGGCCCAGGCGCATCCACTCTTTGTGTTCTCTCTAATTCTAATCTTCTGAATTCCTCATACTCTCTATCTTTCTCCTTCTCAATTTATCTCACTCCTCGAATCATATCTTCGCTCCCTAATCTTCTCCACTACTCTCTAATACTTTTACTATCTCTATCACTCTTGGGTTTGAACTGACAGTTACGTCTCTGTGCTGACGTGGTATGGCAACCTGAACTTATGTACTTACGTACGAAGTTCTGCGTTGTATATGTCTGTCTGTCTTTCCTCAGGAGTTTGCATCTACGATCTCATAACTCAGGAGTTTTGGTCTAGTGCAAGAACTCAAACACTTAACCTCTTGATCACTGACTGAATTTAACTGTAACCAAATATTGCTCGTTTATCACTCATTATATTCAGTGAACAAATGTTATACCTTCACAAAGCTAGTTAGTGACTAGTGAAAACATGATAAAATTGTCATTAAAGAATTGTGAAACTTGTTGATTCTCATTGAAATTATGACGAATGTTTTGATAGAGAACAATGTAAGAAGAAGACGATGTAGTTGACCTAAAAAAAATATTGTGATTTATTTGCATACTGTAATGTACCGAACAATATGGTCTCTCTCTCACACACACTCACACACATGTGTACACTTTCTCAAGCCAGTTCATTATGAAAATCAATACAAAGGTCAATCCAGTCAAAGTTCAAATGAACACAACAATGATAATTGTAAACAAAGTAGACAGAGAGAGAAAAATTAGCATAGTAAGTATAGAGAGAATGTTAAATTCTCACTGGTGTAGGTAGGATTGTGGATACCGCACTTCCACTGATAACAAGTCTCATATTAGGATGAAATTCAACAATCTCTCCACAATACTATACTAATAACAATTCACTAAATAGTTAGTTGGTCGTGAATTCCGGGTTTCATCCTACCTAGGATTATATCAGCTAGAAGTAACTGGTTACATTACATCGAAACGTTAGTTAGAAGAAAAGGAACTTGTGACTCAATGGTAAATCGCCATATTGGCCTAATGAATTCAAAAATTTGCTTGCTTTATGCTACAGTTTCGTCACATGCAGCGTAATCGAGACGCTCCTGAGGTGCAAGGTAAACATGACTAGTTAACTGATAAGTTAGTAAAATTTCACAGAATGAAGTATTCAGTAGGGATGTATATGTTGTATGGTTATTCAGTCAGTCAGCCAGTTACGACGTAGAACGTACGTACATCCGTTCAAGTTGCCACACCGCATTAGAACAGAGACGTAACTGTCAGTTCAAATCTAAGAGTGTTAGCGATAGTAGAAGCATTAGAAGTAACGGAGAAGATTAGGGTTCAAAGACACGATTTGAGAAGTATAATTCAGTAAGATAAATTTAGAAGGAGAAAGGTAGAGATTATGAGGAATGCAGAAGCTTAGAATTTCATAGAACACAAAGAGTGGATGCACCTGCACCATTGCAAACGATTTGGAGCCATGTCATTCAGGTTATCTAACCATCGATTATTATCATCTCGCGAACCCCAACCAGGTAGTCGACAACTACCGACATGACACAATCCACTTGTCAATGATTTCACGGATTTCTGCCATGTTTTGGTTTGGCCACCCCTAACTTTCTTCCAACCTATTCCTACTCTACAAAACAAAGCTCGTGGAGGCAGTCGGTTGTTAGGCATACGCAGCACATGTCCCAACCACCTCAACTGATCAAGTTTCACCACTTCATCTATTGATCTGCCATCCTTACCTAGAACTCGTTTATTAACGATGGCATTTCTTACTCGGTCGCCTCAGGATATACGAATGTCTTGGACTCTTACCGGTCATGTTTCGCACCCATATACTAAGACAGAGAACGAACTGCTGCGCAGTATATGGCTAATCAGTACCTGATTTCAAGAGCGATGTTATTTGTCTAGTCTTGCAGAACGTTGGAACTTACTTCATCAATTCTGTGACTCTTGCTACTACTGTAGTGAAGGAGAACACAGGTGAGGGCAACCGAATTGTATTTAATCTCAAATTACAGAGTTACTCAGTAAAATCGGAAAAGCCATATCGTAAACGGTTAATTTGCAAATCTTCAATTCACTGTCTGACATTTCACTATTCATGCGTTTCATACTAATTCCATTGTGTTCCCCCCACTCTTCCCTTCTTGATCTTCTCCCATCCTCTTCTACTGCCAGACATTACGTTGACACTCACGTCATATACTACTTATAAGTAGCGCGCACAACACTACTACTACTACTACTACGAATATTCATACTTATAATCTATATTGTTTTGTATCCATGTAATGATGTTGTGTAAGGACTTGAATAATTACAATCTATTATTACACCTATCATGTCTAGTTTTCATCACTATTATTATAATCGTTATTATCATCATTGTTATTTATTGATTTTAGTTAAATCCACTAACTGGTACCAATTTACAACAACAACGTTATTTATTCATTGCTTCATGTATTGAATATACAACACAATTGCTCATGTCTAATGGATTATTGGAACCGAGTACATTGTCATCTGGTGAACATACTACTGACGATCATCCTAATCATCAGCCTACTACCACTACTACTACTACTAATTCTGCTCTAAATAATCCCAATCATAATAGTCATGATAAAAACATCAACTTGTCAAATCATTTTTCACAATTCATCGATTTATTAATACATATTACCGATTCAACGACACATCAATCTATTATTTTACCTATGTTATTAGGTACAACTGAATGTTTATCAATTGCTGTTTATAATTTATTATATTCTACAAATATTACTAGTTTATCAGATATCAGTAGTACTGCTACGTCTACGTCTACTGTTTTGACAACAATCAATCATCAATTACCGCTTCATTTATTATTACCACCGAATTATGCAATCGATTTCATTTTCATTCTTATCATGTATATGACTAATATTATTCATGAGAATAATAAAACAGCCGCAGCATCAGAGATGATGACGACAACGACTGGCGCCGCTGCGGCCGCCACTTCAACGACATCTTCATCCTCCTCATCGTCATCGTCGGTACAAACAATTATTAAAACTTTTTTATCACAATGGTTTATGGAACGTTTTCATGATAAAATGATAGCGGTAAGTGAAGATTTGTTTGTGACCAATTCGGTCTCGTGTGCTGTTACGGGTATAAGGGCGGTTATCACTTCCTGGCTGTCCACACCATGGAAAGGTGTTTGTTGAGGGACCTGAAAAGGAAGATTAGATTAGTGTTGGTCTTGGAGACCTGGGTTCGTGACCGCAGAGCCCAGGGGACAATTGCTTGAGGCCGGTCACACACGGTCTTCTTATGAAAGGTTTTTTGAGTATTAGCTCCATTCTTAAAGGCCCTTGGTGGGCACCCTTACCCAAGGAGACGAAAATCCATGAGGTAGTAGGGTGAGGTGTGACATTTTTAGGCTCGACTTTTTCTAACCCTTCCTTCCTTGTGAGAAGGCAACATCGCTGCAGATGCTGGTTGTTCGAGAGAAACACCTTACTGCTGTCACACTCCTCTACAGCCAGTCAGCAGTACGACTTTGCCCTCAGACCTTGAGTAGCTGCTTTTAGTCTTATCGTTCTCCATTGTTCCTGCCTGGCATGGTAGGACCTGCAGGAACATATGTTCCAGTCATTATAGCTCGGTTGGGTCATCACGATAGGCAAGATCGTCCACCAGCAGCTACGGTCGGATTGTTGAATGAATTGAGTGATTCATTGAGTAATGGTATATCAGAAGAATCAGTTGATCAGTTGCAACGGAGAGCTTGGTGTATGTGTATGTACATCAGTTTAAGTTACCATACCACACATTAACAGACAGAGACACAATTGTCACTTTGTAGTAGAGGTAGTAGAAGTATTAACAGTAACCGGAGAGATAAGGGTTCGACGATATTATTCAAGAAGTGGAATAATATCAGCACAGGGAAATGAAATTGTCAGGCTAAAAAGTAGAGGTCAGTCAGTCAGATGCAACGTAGAACTTCGTACGTAAGTACATCAGTTCACGTTGCCATGCCACATTACACACAGAGATGTAATTGTCAATTCAAGTCCAATAGTAGAAAAGGTAGTAAATCTATTAGAAGTGATTGGAGAGGTTAGGATTAGAAGATATTATTCAAGAAGTATAATTCAGTAAGATAAACTTAGAAGGAGAAAGATAGAGGTGTTGGAGAATCCTGAAGAACACAGAGAACAAATGCACTGGCGCCATTGCGAACGGTTTTGAGCCATGTCATTCAGGGTCTCTAACCATCAACTGTTATCATCTCGCCGACCCCAACCAGGTAGTCGACACCTATTAACCTGATTCAGTTCACTTGTCAATGACTTCATGGATCGCTGGCATGTTTGGGTTTGGCCGCCCTTAACTTTCTCCCAACCTACTCCTACACTACACTACAAAGCTCGTCGAGGCAGTCGGTGGTTGGTCATACGTAACACATGTCCCAACCACCTCAACTGATGAAGTTTCACCACTTCATCTATTGTTGATCTGCTATTCTTACCTAGCCCCCGTTTCCTAATCACAGAGTTGCTCACTCGGTCGTCCCAGGATACAAGAGCAATGCTTAGAAGACATCTATGATCGAAAACCAGTAACCTACGACTATCCACTTCTCTTACTGGCCTTGTTTCGTATCCATCTATAGTAGAACGGAGTGAGCAGTAGACCCCATCCTCTAGTTATATATATCTGTTTGTTAACCAAACGACTACTACAATTCTTGTTAGTCCTATTATTAAACAAACTAATTTCCCTTTGATTTTTTTTGGTTATTTGTATTAATTATTTATTGATTTGTAATTGGTTTTTTTAATTAAATTAAATTAATTTTCATGAACCTTTTCTTCGCTTATAAAAAAGGATCCATTCGCGCTGGGTGTTGTCAATTATTTACGTCTACATTATACATCACATATAGCTACTACTGCTACTGCTACTTCTGCTACTAGTAGTACTACTGCTAGTACTAGTAGTAGTGGTAGTACAACAATGATTTCATGTCAAAAATTAACACTGCCTATGGAAATTCGTAAACCATCACTTAGTCTCATCACACATATGATACAATCAGCACAAGCAGCACTTAGGTAGGTTGTGTTCGTTTATTTTTATTGTTATTGCTGTTTTTGTCAACCTACTACTACTACTACTACTTATTTACAATAAATAAGTAGTATTTATATATTTTTTTGTTTATGTGATATACTTGTGTTGTGTTGAGATCATATATGATTTTTAGGTTGAATGTGTGTGTACTACATTACATGTGTACCAAGGCAGGATCATTGTTATCGGCTATCAGTGTGTTGTAGTTCTATCCATACACACACACTTTCTACTGTTACTGATTCCATTAGTGTTGATGTACAACCTAAAGATTACTTGTTTCTTATGTAATCCAAGTCATGTTATTACTTAGTTAGTTAGTTACTTACTTACTTACTCCTTTTACCCCCAATGAAGCATCGGCCGCCGACAAGTATCCTCCCTTTCCAGTTCTGTCCTATTGTTGTTCATTCTTCATATGTCTGTCTTCATTTCTCGATCTAATGAGTTTCTTAGCTTTCCTCTTTTCCTTTGATTTTGAGGGTTCCAAGTGAGGGCTTGTCTTGTGACTCAGTTGGGTGCTTTTCTCAATGTGTGTCCTATCCACTTGCAGTGCTTCTTCCTAATTCCTTCCTCCATTGAAATCTGGTTTGTTCTTTCCCATAGTATGTTGTTGCTGATGGTGTCTGGCCAACGGATCCGAAGTATTTTGCATTGAAAATTGTGACTTAGGTGTTAGTTTGTAGTTGTTTGGAGTTCTAGATAATGTTCTGTTGTAGAATTGCTGTCCTTGCTTTGCTGATCCGCTCCTTCACATCTGCATCAAATCCATCTTGTTTGTCAACGATGCTGCCTAAATATGTAATGCCTATTACGTCGTCCTCCAAGGCATCTCCGTCAAGAGTGATTTGGTTGGTGCATGCTATGTTGTATCGGAGAATCTTGCTTTTCCCTTTTATGCACATTTCAAATCATCAATCAATCATTGTTAGACCATCACCATTAAGAACCTGGAAGCACTGGACGACCGTTTCGTCCTGATATGGGACTCGTCAGCAGTCAGCATCCACAACTCATGCACTTCGCACGATTCCCTTTATCTATGTTCACACCTGTTGTTAACGCTAACCAGAAAATTCAACTGAATTTAAGTTACATCATAATAATTTGATATAGTGTTAACAGACGGGCTCTTTTTATTGGAGGGAGAGCGAGAATATTAATTATGACTATTTGTGTTTTTCAAGTAACTTAATCGATCAAGACAAGTTTGTTATATTCTAAACAGTTTATTTCTATCTTTATTCAAGTTCATTGTGTTACGCGTTGCATCAAATTAAGTGGATTTCCTTAAACACCTTTTTGTATACTGTAAAATGATCTCATCTAGAAATTATCCAAAACTAGGATGCATTTGATGGTTGTAACACTTTAACAGTACATAATCACTGTATACAATACCGTGCACATTTGTTTCATCAAATTGAATTAAGAGAGTACGATAGCGTTTGATTGGGGGTTGGGGGTGAATTCTAATGGTTACCAATTCATAATAGTGTCAGATTAGTAATCTAAGATGTGCCACCTATGAAAATCATCTGAACACATCAGAGATTAAATGATCCATTCTTGTGTGAGTTTACATGATCAGTAGTAGTAATCCAAGTAATTGGGAATTCGTTTGAAAGAAAGCTAGGGGCGGCCAAACCAAAACATGGCACAAATCCATGAAGTCATTGACAAGTGAACTGAGTCATGTTGGTAGATGTAGGCTATCTGGTTGGGGTCTGCGAGACGATAGTCACCAATGGTTAGAGACTTTCAACCGCATGGCTCAGAATCGTTTGCAGTGGCCCAGGTGCATTCATTCATTGTGTTCTGTCGAATTCTAATCTTATGAATTCCTCATAATCTCTATCTTTCTCTTTCTAAATTTATCTTACTGAATTATACTTCTCGAATCATATCTTTGATCCCTAATCTTCTCCATTACTGCTAATAATTCTATTGTTGCTATCACTATTGGATTTGAAGTGACAGTTGCGTCTCTGTGCTGATGTGACATGGCAACTTGAACTGATGTACTTACGTACGAAGTTCTGCGTTGTGGTGGTGTTTCGTTCTGTGAGCTGGGCATTTTGGTTGTGGAGCTTTCATTGTTCTTCTACCGAACAACATCATCAGCACAAACTTCAGATCAGTCAGTCAGTCAGATGCAACGTAGAACTTCGTACATAAGTACATCAGTTCATGTCGCCATACCACATCAACACAGAGATATAATTGTCAATTCAAATCCAATAGTAGAAGAGGTAGGAAAGGTATTAGAAGTAATCGGAGAGGTTAGGATTAGAAGATATTATTCATGAAGTATGATTAAATGAGATAAGTTTAGAAAGTAAAAACTAGAGGTGTTGAAGAATCCAGAAGATTAGGATTTGAGAGAACACAAAGAATAAATGCACTGGCGCCACTGCGAACGATTTTGAGCCATGTCATTCAAGGTCTCTAACCATCGATTATTATCATCTCGCGGACCCCAACCAGGTAGTCGACAATTACCGACATGGCTAAGTCCACTCGTCAATGACTTCATGGATTTATGCCATGTTTTGGTCTGGCCGCCCCTAGCTTTCTTCCAACCTATTCCTACACTACAAAACAAAGCTCGACGAGGGAGTCGGTGGTTAGGCATACGCAACACGTGTCCCAACCACCTCAACTGATGAAGTTTCACCACTTCATCGATTGGTCTGCCATTCTTACCTAGCACCCGTTTCCTAATAACAGCGTTGGTCACTCGAGTGTCCCACGATATACGAGCAATGCTTCGAAGACATCTATGATCGAAAACCAATAACCGACGAGTATCTTCTACTCTCATTGGCCATGTTTCACAGCCATAAAGTAAGACGGAGCGAACCACTGCGCAGTACACTCGTCCTTTAGTCAGCAGACGGATATCTCGCCTACGCCATAAGTGACGCAGGTTGGCAAAAGCCAATCGAGCCTTCTGTATCCGTGCCGAGATTTCGTCAGTCACCAGGCCATCAGCACTGATGAGACTCCCGAGATAAGTGAAGCGGTCTACACGTTCGACTACTTCACTCCCCATCGCTAGTTCAGGTGCCGATGAAACCCAATCTTGAAGCAACATTTTGCATTTCGAGGGGGAAAACCGCATCCCGAACATGCTTGCATTGTTGCTTAGGGTAGTCAGAAGACTCTGCATTTTGTCAGCGTCTTCACCAAGTAGGACAATGTCATCGGCATATTCTAAGTCAATAAGCGAGCCACCTGGTAAAAGGTCTACTCCAGAAAATTCAGACGAGGATAAGGTTATTTCTAGGAGCATGTCAATGATAAAATTAAACAAGAATGGAGAAAGTGGACATCCCTGACGCACACCACTTGATGTAGAGAATTCCGGTGACAGTTCGCCATAAGCTCTCACTCGGCCAGTGGTGTTTGAGTAGAGAGCTTGTATGAGGTTAATGTACTTCTTTGGTACACCTTTCAATGACAGACACTGCCACAGAACCTCACGATCCACTGAGTCAAATGCCGCCTTAAGGTCCAGGAAAACAACTATTGTAGGACGCCTAAATGTGTGTCTGTGTTCCAAGACCTGTCGTAGTGTGAAAATGTGGTCTATACAGCCACGTCCAGGTCGAAAACCAGCCTGGTTTTCTCGAGTCTGCTCTTCACGAGCTTTCGTTAAGCGTCGAAGTATTACTGAGGCCAATATTTTAGATACTATATTAGTTAGACTTATTCCCCTGTGATTGTCACAAGAAGACTTCTGTCCTTTCTTATAGATTGGGACAATCAGTGATTGAGACCAGTCGGATGGGATTACGTCCAGTTCCCAGATTCTACCTAAGATCTCAGTCAACCTAGCTGCTAAAACTGGACCACCATCCTTAAATATCTCAGGGGTCAGTCTATCAGGACCTGCAGCTCGTCCTCGCTTCAGATTTCCTAAAGCTTTTTCAACTTCATTAAGACTAGGGGGACTTACGTCGATTTGCCATTCAGGATGACTGGAGATCGTGGGTAACCGAAGAGTGGCTCGTGGCCAGTTGAACTGATCCCTAAAGTGTTCTGCCCATCGATCCAGTCTCCTGGATTGAGAATAAATAATAGTCCCGTCATTTTCTGAGATAGTCTCGCTTACACTAGGATTCCTAATACCAGTTTCCTTGATAAGTCGGAAAAGTTGTCTACTGTTGCCTATCGCCGCTGCCTTTTCCATCGCTTTTGCTTTCGCCACCCACCACTGTTCGCGATCGTTACGTAGGCTTTTTATAAGTCTGCCTCTAAGCTGACTTCGTTCTTCATCATGTTCAGAGTCAGGTGGGATGAGTTTTCGGGCATCCATCAGATCGGTGGATGCTACTGAGATCCACGGTTTCATTCTAGCCTTATGGTCAACCTTACTAGCAGATATCACTGCTGTTTCCACAGCCTTTTTGATATCATTCCATCCTGCTTCCGGATGGGAATCGCTTAATTGGTCGCCTAACTGTCTTTCTAGTTGTTCCTGAAATATATTTTTCGCCTTATTATCATTAAGTAAAACCCTAAGAGGCTTTCTTACGGTGTCTTTCCTACGCCCAGTAAGCTTCAAACAAATACGCGCTCGCACTAGGGCATGATCTGAATCTAGACATGTGCTCCAGAACGAGCGACAGTCCTCTATCGAACCCCTCCATCGGTGGCTGATGGCAATGTGATCTAGTTGAGTCCAACGTTGAAACGACTTTGGAGGTCGCCAGGTCAACAGATGCTTTTCCTTATGCCTAAAGTTAGTGTTTGCTAAGAATAGGCGGTTGTCTGAGCATATTTGCAACAGACGGTCACCATTGTCTGTTCTCTGAGCCGGGACACCATAACATCCACCTAGGTGTCTCTCCTGCTCACTTAGTCTACCTACTTGAGCATTAAAGTCACCAGCCATTATTACTATATCAGAGCGCCTAGCTTTTTGGAGGAGGTCCGAAAGCTTTCTGTAAAACTCATCCTTAACCTCGTCTGAACT